AAAAAAAAATTAATTTTTTAGCTTATCCTCCTCCCATCAAATAATATTCAATCTGTACAAAAAAAATTTTTGAAAACTGATTCAGATTGAAAAAAATAAAAATAAAATTATAAACTTTTTTAACATTAAATCACAAACCATACAAATAAAGAACATTCTATGAATATGAAATTAAGAATGCTAAATACGTGGACTCCATATTACTAGCTACAAGACACGTGTTACGAGCTGAATGGAGGAGCACGGTCTATCGTTTATCCGAATTTGCTCAAATTGGGACTTTTTTTTTTTTTTTTGGAGAGAGAGAGAGAGAAAAACTGGTTTAGTTCCGGAAAGGGACGATTACAAGCAGCGCGAGCGAGGGAGAGCGAGAGCGAGAGAGAAGGGGAGGGATCCTCAGCAATTTAGGGTTTTGAGATTTTGGTCAGGTCAGTGAGTGCATAATTACAAAAAGAAAACTTTTAATCGATTGCTCAATTACGATTGTGATTAAAGCAGCTAATTTTTCTGTTCCGAATTTGCTGAGTTTAATGGAGGAAATGATGAGTTTGATTTGGTATTTGGTGATGATGATTGTGTGTGAGAAAGAGGTGTGCTTGTTGTGTGCAGGAAGATGCGAGTGTGAGAGATTTATAGAGAGAGGATTTGTGAGATCTCCAGAGAGCCTTTTTGATTTTGAGTGTGTTAGGTTTTTCTCAAAGATTTCGATTTTAGACGCTGTTTCACTGATATTGTCATGGAACGAAAGCTTGTGGTTAGCAATCTTTTCCACCATGTGAAATTTCTTTCCATTCGTCCTTGTTGAGGCCAAAATAAATGGACTGTTTTTGTTCTACTCATTGAAATTGTAGGTCTTGGGTATCCCTTGGGACGTGGATACTGATGGTCTGAGAGAATATATGAGCAATTTCGGTGACTTAGAGGATTGCATTGTTATGAAGGTGGTTTTTTTATTTACCCCTTCAATTCATTTGCAAGTGCTACTAAATTTATTAATTGAAGACATTGATCTTGTGTTGTGTTACAGTTGGTTTTTGAAATGTTTGTTGCTTTTTATTTTTGATGGTGATCAGTGATAAAAGCCTTTTCTTTTTTACTTTTTCTCCCTAATTTTTGATAAAATGTCCTAAAAACACCCCTTTCTCAGCCGGATGAGTGCTTTGGCATTTAAGTTATGTTGCTAACTGCTAGTAAAGAGAAAAAAAATTTGTTGCTAATTGCATGATTTACCATGTAGATGGCATTCTCTGCTTACCTCAAGTAACAAAAATGTTAATTAGTTATTGCTTTCTTGGATTGGAGATGGCGGATGTCTGTGATAGGTACATATTGTTTGTATTGAAACTTTTGGTGACATAAAAAAACTGTATTTGGAGTGGTGATGTTTTTTCATTTTTTCTTCTGTACCATGCACATAGTTTCTCTCTCTTTTAAATGGAGGAATTGTGTGGGGACGGGGATGGGAAAGTGGAATAGGGATTCTGGAACCCTCTTTATTTAGATGTGGTACCCCTTGTGATTGTGAGACCACCCTATCTAAGGCCTGACTTTGAGGGTGCACTGTATTCATTGGAATTGTTTAGTTAGTTCTTGAGAAGACCACTACTTTCTTAAGTTAATTTTTTAACATGACAGTTTCATCTTTATATTTTTATCAACTATTGGTGTCTGTTTCCATCTTTTAGGAGAGGTCTACAGGGAGATCACGCGGTTTTGGATATGTAACATTTGCATCAGCTGATGATGCTAAGGTAACTGAAACCTGTAATTTTTTTGGTAACTCAAATTCTACTACTCCCTGGATATTCATTTATCTTTTGGTTTATGAATCCACCTTTGGATTTCTTTTTTTTCTTTTTTTTTTCTAAGAAATGATTTATATAGCACACCTGATATGTCATTTTGTACAGAATGCATTATCCAGTGAGCATTTTCTTGGCAACAGAATGCTGGAAGTAAAAACAGCCACTCCAAAGGTTTGGTTACATAAACCTTAATTGATTCTCATCTCATAGTGTCCTCCTGAATTTTTAATCATTGTCTTAGAAGTGTATTTCATCTGTTCACCATGACAACCTTAATGTTTGTACTATTTGGTAGGAGGAGATGAGAGCACCTAAAAAGAAAGTAACTAGGATATTTGTGGCCAGGATTCCACCATCTGTAACTGAATCAGCCTTCCGAAGGTAACCAATTTATAACATAAATTTGATTGGTATATTAGTTCTTACTTGTCCTTACTCTTTGCAATCTATCTGTCACTTATGTTGAGAAAGTAACACAGTGGTGGTTATTTTTATCCCAGTCATTTTGAGAATTATGGTGAAATAACAGATTTGTACATGCCAAAGGTACTCTCTCTCTCTCTCTGTGCATGTGTTTCTCTCCTTTTGAGTAAATAGCTCAGTGTAAATCATGTTTAATGAAATTGTGTCTAAGCATGTTGTTGGTGCTTGTATGATATTGATTATCCTTTGTCTTTTATAGGATCAAGTTTCAAAAGCCCATCGTGGAATTGGGTTTATCACTTTTGCAAGTGCAGGTGAGGCCATCTTGAACTGATTTGATATTTTTCAGTTAATTTTTCGTATTAGGGGCCTAGTGAGAGATGTATATTACTTGTTTGAAATATGGTTATTTGTTAGACCTCCCTCACCCACCCTTGACCCTTTATACTAGTGAAAAAAAGTCACTTCTGTTCTCTATGTTGCAGAATCTGTGGAAAGTCTCATGACTGATACCCATGAACTGGGAGGTTATACGGTAGTTGTTGACCGGGCAACCCCCAAGGTAAGTTAACATAACTCCAGATGCTTTTTCTGTTCATTGTTTACTTAATTAAATAAGAGAGAAGGTTTATCTCTTTTTGGTTTCAATCTGTTCATTTTGGAGAAATTTGTCATTAAACTTTCAAATTATTCTATTTTTAATATTTCACTTATAAATTCAATATATGAAAGGTTAATTTCACCCATTAAAAAAAAAAATGTCTTCAGGAAGATGACTTTAGGCCAATAGGGAGAATGGCACAGGTTGGATATGGTGCATTCAATCCTTATTTTTCTGCTGCCACTAGATATGCAGTCCTAGGTGCTCCTACCTTATATGACCATCCAGGTCCAGTATATGGAAGTAAGTTCCCTTTCAAGCAGACTTCTATTGTAGTTTCCTGGATGGTTATTAAATTATTAATGCATTTTTTTCCTTTTTTGGTTGGATCAGGAGGGGAACCAATCCGGGGAATGGGCAAAAAGATATTTGTTGGCAGGCTCCCTCAGGAGGCCACCACTGATGATCTTCATCAGTACTTTGGAAGATTTGGACGTATATTAGATGTTTATATTCCTAAGGTAAGATAGAAATAACTGTCAATGTTCACATGAACATTTAATTGGATTTAACATGTGAAGGTCTGAATGATCATTATAGGACCCTAAGAGAACTGGTCACAGAGGTTTTGGTTTTGTGACCTTTGCTGAAGATGGTGTTGCTGACCGAGTGTCGTGTAGATCACATGAGATTTGTGGACAGCAGGTACTAGATGCAAAAGTCTCTTTTTCTTGTCTTTAGTAGTATGTATTTGGTTGGTCATTGTGCTCTCTGTTTCAAGGATTTTTGTGACAGCAGGTACTAGAGGCAAAAGTCTCTTTTTCTTGTCTTTAGTAGTATGTATTTGGTTGGTTATTGTCCTCTCTCTTTCGAAAATTTTTTGTCCCATTCTCTGATTGCGAGCTTCCAGAGGTGTGGAGCCTAGTGTGGGGCTGGCATTGTCCTTCTGAATGGGAATTATCTCACAATAGTTTTTTTTTTTGGCATGAATTACAAGTAGAATTGCAGTTCTTATGGTATAAACTTAAAATTTTTACCCGTCTATGTAGGTGGCAATAGATTTAGCCACACCACTAGACGATGCTGCCCCTAGTAGGAGTTTCATGATAAGTAGTGCAGAATTGTTTGGGGGTTATGGTGGTCCTATGCGCACCTATGGCAGGATGTATGGAAGCTTGGAGTTTGACAATGTGAGTATATATTCTGTTCGCTTAATTTTGTACTACGAAGAAGTATAATGATCATAATACTTACATTAGGTGAATTATTAGGCATGGAGGCAAATATATAATTTTTCAGAAACCGAGTTTTGTACGACCTCGTCTGATGGCTTTTGGTAAATTGATTTTCTGTATGGCAGTGGGGTTATGGAATTGGCAGCGCTAGACCATCAAGAGTAAACTGGAGATACAGGCCATACTGAAAAGTGGTGGATTGGTGATGCTTTGCCTCAGGTCTTAAAGTCAAATTATATATGCTGCACTTCATCAATCGATCTTTCCAAAGCTCACCCGATGATTGTTTGATGTTGATGTTAATATTTATTTATTAATCATGTCGTGGGCAACATGATATGTTGGTTTTCTTCACACAGCTTGAAATGTCAAATTCTAGCCCGATAGGGGGGATGGAAACAAGCATGAGTAATTTACTTTTCTGTATCAAACTTGCTGAATCGCAGATGTTCTCATGTTAGGCATTTAGGAGTATGCTACTGTAAGTGATATATTTCCCATCTGGGTTAACCATATGTTCTTTGCACATTCAATGACAAATTACAGCATCAGACAATTTCCAACTGACTGTATTTCCATTGAACGTGTGAGGTCAAGCCTTTGCAGATCCAGATATTGCTGTCATGATTTTAAGTGGATGTGAACAGCCCTTAAGAGAGGGAAAGGGGAGGGGGGAATGTCGCCTGACAATTTCTGCTATAAAATATAACTTTAAGTCTCTAAAATTGCTGCTGCTAATGCTTAGATCCATTTGCCCAAGACACATTATAGAATGCAGATGGAAGATATCATACATGAGAGAGTAAATAAAGGTGAGAGCACATACAAAATTTTGGAATGATTCCATGGTACGAGAAACTAGAACGCAGGGCAGGTGAAGCAATTCAAAGTACTAATGCGGGTAAGCTTGCGGAAGAATGTAACCTTGTGCGAAGTCCCTGTAACCTGTTGTTCCTGCTTTACTGAAATTGAACTTCTCATTTCCTGGCCTTTCAGCTCAGCCAATCTCACCTTATTCAAAATCTTATCCATGGATGCCGCTCTCTTCTTTTCCAGTTTCACCTGACAGTAAACGGGATTGCATCAAATTTCCCTGTTTCTAAACAAGCAACTACTGATTGAACAAAGAAAGCCTTCATTCAGAAGGACATGGTACTGAAGAATATGCTTGGTTTAGAGTATTTGAAAGACAAAACTAAAATATTTTGTGGTTATCAGTTGGATGAACCTCGAGTTTTCGAATGGCTGCCTTAGCTTTTGCCCTCTGCAAATTTTCCCATGCAGAGATCTTTGCTTCCTCTCTCTGCAATCTGCAAAACAAGTCAGAGTTCTCTTAGAAAAGTTCCTTTATTTTCGGGCAATTTTCTCACATTCAACTAAACTCAGCAAGCTTCTGTTCATCTGCTTACAGTTCAGGACTGAAATCTGATCTTGTCACAACCTTACCTCAATTCTGAAGATCAGCATCAAAAGGCTTTTAAATTGCAATGGTATTTTAATTGATGAAAATAACTCCCAAGCGTGACCAAGATCAGAAGAAACATAGAAATGTGCAGTGAAACTTAATGTGCAGTGAAACTTACTTTGAGATGCTTGTTGCTGCCTCTGAAATATCAAAAGATGAAGCGGAAGCAGCTCCATCGATACTATAGAAATCTTCAACATCAGGCGGCTGGTCTTTCTTCATTATTCTAGATCTTTTGGACCAGTTAGTCGTGGTGACTCGTTTGTCTACCTGCACTTCCCTAATTTCCATCTTAGAAGGATGGTCGTCCTTCTCCACAATAGGAAGGATGGAGGGAGTAGAGGAACAAATTGAAGATCCCTCTTTGGGAGATGAGTGGCTGCTACTACTCTCAGGACTCATTTGCGTTGCCATATCCCTTCGTGAAACCATGGGAGAAATTGTTGTTTCTGAATCCTTTATTTCCTCAAATTTCTCATACTGCACAAGACTAGATTGCCTGTCAACATTGCCGCCGCCGTGACCACCACCAAAGCCACCGTAATGAACAGAAACCCCATCTGGGATCAAAACCCCAGTTGAAAAAGGAGACCCCACCACCAAACTCTTGACACTCCCACCACCAGCATCAGACACCTGCATTGCAGCGGGAGAGCAATTGGAATAGAACCCAATCCCTGGAGGAACAATCGGCCCACTCTTGGACTTAGGCCGCCTCTGAAACTGATAATGGGCATCGTTGCTAACCCCATAACCCAGAAAGGGACTACAAACCCACCTCTCCGCATCCTCCCATTTGGAAGGCAACGTCCTTCCGCTATAAAACGGTGTAAGAGACGCAGCACTGATGTGTCTCCTGCTGCATCCCCTGCTATTTGCCGGATGCGGGACTCGCTCTGAACTCCACCCTTTCTGCACCATCACACTGCCATCCCGATTATTTAGTGCTCCTGGGCTCAAAAAGGTACCCAAATTGTTCAAAGGAACAGAACCCTTCTTCATTTGCACACAAATCTCCACAATGGCACTTGGGTTTGTGCTTATTTGCTCATTTAATTAGTACAAGAAAGAACAACAAAGGGGTACAGCTGGTGCTGTTCTGCTCTTTCCACCTCCCGCGCTGGTGAGGCTAAACAGTGGAGCAGGGGCTAACCTTTATCGCTATCGGAGGCTCTGATTTGATTGATTGGAGACAATACATATGCTCCATGGTGGATACTGCCAAATGCTGCATCATATATTTAATAGGAAGCAGGGGTAATGTTGACCCTCACAGCATGGGTGTGGTACAAGCGTATCCTTTTATTTTTTTTCTCTTTTATTTAGTTAATAAATAAATTTAAAAAATATTAAGAAAAAGAATTTCTTTTTTCATTTTTCTCAATCTCTCGACTTAACAAAATATATTATTAGGCTATTTGATTGCTATATCACTTTTTTTATCAATTTTTTTAAATTTTTTAATTTTTAAAGTTATTTATATATTTTTATATATTAATATTATAATAAAAAACATAAAAAGAATATTTTTAATTTTATTTTTTAAACATAACTTTTAATTCGTAAATTTTTCTTTTTATTTTTTTAACAAAATTTTCTAACTTTTTTTATGTATGATTTACTTAATAATTTTTATATTTACTTTTTATACAAATTTCTTATTAAAAATATAAAAATTAATGATCAAATAAAATTTTATTATAAAATTTATTAAATTTTTATACAATACTTTTTTTTTATCAATAATCACTTTCTCTATTTTAATAAAGGATTTTTTAATCAAATTAGTCTTTTAACTGAACAAGTACTAAGTGTTTGGATTACTTTATTGAAAAACATTTCATTCTAACATTTTGTAAATATATATTAGTATTTACACCTCAAAAGTATAATAAATAGATAAAAATAATATTTTTAATATTTATTTTTTTAAAAATAATTCCTAACCACAGTTTTTTTCTCACCTCTTAAAGGAAAAAATATTTTCTACAACTTTTTTATATAAGACTAATTTCATATCTTTAATTACCAAATTTTTTATTTTTTTATGTCAATTTTTTATCAAATACAACAAAATTAATCCAACCAAAAAAACTTATTTACTTTTTATCTAAAATTTTTTAACTTTCTATATCATTTTTTAATTATTTATTTTTTCAATAAAACTTTCAAAAAACAAACTTTAGGGGAGTACACCTTAAGCCTTTAGTGGATTTGCCAAGGCTAGAGTACCGTACATGTAGGAATTGGGAACCGGAAGCTTCTAATCTGGATTATAAGATTCATAGGATTTGGATGAGGCTTTATTTTCGGTGAAAAATTATTTTTATATTATTTATTACTATTTTTTAATATAATTTGATATATTATTTAAATAATTAATTTTTTTATACACATAAATTTTAATGATATTAAATACATTTATTTATCTAATAACATATGAAAATTATATAAAAAATAATATAAAGAGATTGCTCTTATAATACCACTTATTTTTAATTTAGATTATTAAGGATATTTTTTACTCAAATTTTATGTATAATGCGCTTTTAAAACTAATTTCTTATATGATGTATTAATAAAAATTAATTTTTATATATGTTCGTTTCAAAATTTAAAATATAAATCTCATCTATAAAATTTCATCTATTTATTAATATATTCAAATCTTAAATTTTGAATCAAGCTTTGTTTTAAGAGTCATCTGAATTAGATTTTGTCTGATTAGATACTTATAAATCATACAAGCTTTAAAGAAACAGAATTTTTATATTTAAATAAAGTATCATGTTTTACACGATGAACAATCAAACCGGGGCAACAAACAGAAGAGAGCACTCCTAAATTGTGCCTTTAGCAAGAAAATGTGCAACTTGGTTAGCATGGCGCCGAACAAACAGAAAAGAGCATTCCTAAAAACCGAGGGTAACCCCTCGGTAGATGAACACTTTAAACTGGTTTCATTCCACGGGCCAAGGTCTATTTGGTAGAGTTTTTATTTTTCTAATATTATTTATAAATTATAAGTTTAAATTTTTATTGAAAAAAATATTTAATAATTATTTTTAAAAATAATAAAAAGTGAGAAAAAAATTTATTAAAAAATTTAAGTATAAAATTTTTTAAAATTTACTGTTTAAGGTATTTTTTTAAGTTAAAAACAATAAAAAATATAAACTTTTAAAAATAAAATTTAAATTTATGAAATATGAATATAATCAAAAAATTAAAATACTTATAAATTTCACTAAACATATTATAAGTAACATTGTTATTTATTTTTTTATGAATTTTGTGAAAACTTTTTTATTTTATCTTTTAAATTATATTATATTATAAAATAAACATTATTAAATAAATAATTTTAATATTAAATGATTTATTTTATTTAATAATTAAAATTATATAATTTTAAATAATTCCCGCTGAATTACTTTTTTTTGATTTTTTAAAGTTTTTAAACGCGTCTTGCAATCCTGGACCACTGATGAGAATTGTCCTTATGTGGTCCGGTTCAATCAAACCGACCAAGTACGGGGCTAGGTTATAGTGGCCGACAGCGTGCCACGTATGTGATAGTACCAATCGATGGTGTAAGTATTAACCAATAAGATTCTCTGCCTTTGGATGGTGGGTGGTGACTGGTGACTGATGGGTGGTGCGGTATTTTAGT